ATAATGTCAGAAACTTCCTTCAATTTAAACCACTGGGAGAAAGCACAAACCTTGAAAACATTACACTAAATGAAAGAAGCCAGACATAAAAAATTATATTGTGGGGGCTGAGGTTGTGGCTCAGTGGTAGAATGCTCACCTAGTACATGTGAGGCACTGTGTTTGATTCTTAGCACCACATAAAAATGAAATAAAGATACTGTGTCTACCTACAACTAAAAAATAAATATTAAAAAAAAACCAAGCATGTGTGAGGCACTGGGTTCAATCTCAGCACCACATAAAAATAGACAGATAGATAGTTAGATAGATAGAGGTGCTGTGTCCATCTATAACTAAAAAAAAAAAAAAAAATTTAAAACTATAATGTATTATTCTGAGTATGTAAAATTTTTAGAAAACACAAAACTAAAGAGATAAAAGGAAGATCAATGTTTATCTGGAGTTGGAATAGGGAACAGAAATTAGTCACAAACAAGTTAAGAGAAAACTTAGGAGGTATGAAGAAAGTGTTTGAAAATAGAATTATAGTAGGGCCTGGGGATATAGCTCAGTGGCAGAGTAGGCCCTGGGTTTGATCCCTAGCACTGCAAAAAAAAAAAAAAAAAAAAAATTGCTTTGAAGGCTACACAACCACAAAAATTTACTAAAAATAATACAACTGTAGGGTAGGGGCTGGGGTTGTGGCTCAGTGGTAGAACACTCACCTAGCACGTGAGAAGCACTGGGTTCAATCCTCAGCACCACATAAAAATAAATAAATAAAAAATAAAGGTATTGTGTCCAACTACAACTAAAAAATGTTTTTAAAAATAATAAAACTGTATATGGGTAAATTTACAATCTTTTGTTTTTCCTTGTGAGGTCCTAGGGGCTGAACCCAAGGGTACTTTACCACTGAGCCACATTCCTAGTGCTTTTTTTTTTTTTTTGCTTTTTTTCTCTTTGGTACTGGGGATTGAACTTGGGAGCACTACTCAACCATTGAGCCACATCCCCAGCCCTTTTTGTATTTTATTTAGAAACATTATCTCACTGAGTTGCTTAGTGCTTCAATTTTGCTGAAGCAAGCTTTGAACTTGCAATCCTCCTGCCTCAGCTTCCCAAGTTGCTAAGATTATAGGTGTGTGCCACCATTCCTAGCTAAAAGAGTTTCTAAATATTTTTCATTTCCATATGCACTATTCCATTTTACAGAAAGAATTAGTGCAGGACCAGACACCAAGAACTACTGATCTGGTTGTTAGCTGAAAGGCCTGCAGCAATAAAGAGTTGTAACTAAAACTGACTTAGGCCATTCAAGGGTAACTCCACTAAATATTTCATGAAATAAAGAATTTACAAGTATTACTGACAAAAGGATAAGATAGAAACATGGTCTGGGGCTGGGGATGTGGCTCAAACGGCAGCGCGCTTGCCTGGCATGCGTGCTGCCTGGGTTCGATCCTCAGCATCACATACAAACAAAAATGTTGTGACCGCGGAAAACTGAAAAATAAATATTTAAAAAATTCTCTCTCTCTCTCTCTTAAAAAAAAAAAGAAAGAAAGAAACATTGTCTGTGGTTGAGTAAAAACAAAAATAATTACAAGATGAGGCTGTAAATAAGATGCTACCAGAGAACAACTAGCATAGCACCTTTTTAATACACTACTATATAATTAAATTATAGAATCATTATAAATTATTTGAACCAATAAAACACGACGAAGCAATGAAAATTTTAACTGACATAAACTTCTTTTTTTTTTTTTTTTTTTACACAATGCCTTTATTTTTATGTGGTGCTGGGGATCGAACCCGGGTCCCGCCCATGCTAGGCGAGCACTCTACCACTGAGCCACAATCCCAGCCCCTGACATAAACTTTTGTACCTTGTACTTTTTTAATTCATGATCTGCAAATCAACTATATGTATAGATTTGTTTCAGAGAAAGTCCTAACAACAGATAAACTTCATGTTGTTTCTAACTAAATATAAATCTAGGCTAAGTTCAACCAAAACTGGTTAAGCACTAATGCCTATTATATAATTTAAAATGTAAATTCATTTTATAGCAGATACTAATCACAAAAAGCAATGATAGTTTTTCAAAGCTCTGGCAAAACACAGACATGAAGTAAAGACTCTAGTTTTTAAAAGGTCAAAGCAATCTACTAAAGTTAAGTTTTTAAGGAAAAAACAAATGTAAACTTTTTACATGAAGTTATTTGATTTTCAAATCCAGAATCTTATTTTTATTATAGTATTTCTTATTTGCAGGATGAAAACAGATGTTTAACATTTCAAGCAAAACTGAGAAAAAAAACAACAAACTGGATCGTGTTGACTAAAAAGAAAAAAACTTGGATTATATAAAAAATTTTATATAAAAAATTATATAAAAAATTTTTCAGCCAAAGTACATGTATGAAGTCTCGAATTGGGTGTCAACATACTTTACATATAAACAGAGATATGAAAAATTTTGATATATATGTGTAATAAGAATTGCAATGCAAAAAAACCCCAACAAAATACATGTATAAAGGCGTGAATTGGCATAAACATACTCTATATACAAAGATATGAAAAACTGTACTCTATATGTGTAATAAGAATTGTAATGCATTCTGCTGTCAAGTATTTAAAAGAATTTAAAAAAATTTTTTTTTCAGGGCTGGGGCTATAGCACAGTGGCAAACCACTTGCCTGGCATGTGTGATGCCCTGGGTTCAATCGTTAGCACCACATAAAAATACACAAATAAAATAAAGGTATGCTGTCCACATACAACAATAAATAAATATATATATATATATATATATATATATATATATATTTTTTTTTTTTTTCCAGATTATGAATCTCATTGTAGGGCTGGTGTTGTGGCTGAGTGGTAGAGCACTTGCTTTGCATGGGTGAGGCCCTGGGTTCAATCCTCAGCACTACATAAAAATAAGTAAATAATAAAGATATTATATAAATAAATAAATTTCATTCCATGGAATAGTCACGCTTCTTTAATAATCTGACCATTCCTTTGAACTCATTCTTTTTTTTTTTGGTACCAGGGACTGAACCAGGGATGCTTAAACACTGAGCCACATCTCTATCCCTTTTACATATTTTATTTAGATACAGGGTCTTGCTGAGTTGCTGAGGCTAGTTTTGAACTCACTATTCTCCTACCTTAGCCTCCAGAGCCACTGGGATTATAGGTGTGTGCTACCATGTCCAGCCTTTCTTTGAGCTCAGATTTTTTTTTTTTTAAAGATTTACTATATAATGAAACTAAGGCTTTTAAAACCATAAGCGATTCTAATATATTATTTATATTATTTTCTTTTTTCTTGGTACCAGGGATTAAACACAGTGGTGCTTAACCACTAAGCCACTTCCCCAGCCAGTTTTATTTATTTGTTTGTTTGTTTGTTTATTTTGAAACAGGGTCTCCCTAAGTTGCTCAAGGCCTTGGTAAGTTGCTGAGGCTGGCTTTGAACTTGCGATCCTCCTGCCTCAGCCTCCCAAGCTGCTGAGAAGAGTGTACCACTGTGCCCAGAATAGTATATTATTTTCTTATAAGGAGGTTTTTAAATTGCCAAGTCAAAATGAATTTCCTTCATATTTAACACATGAGATCTAAATCTATGAAGTTTTGTTTGGAATTAAAGAACACTGAGCCAGGTGTAGTGGTGCATACCTATAATCCCAGAGACTCAGCAAGTTGAGGCAGGAGGATGGCAAGTTCAAGGCCATTTAGCAAGGTTCTAAGCAACTTAGCTAGATCCTGTCTCAAAATAAATAGTGCTGGGGATATAGCCTAGAGGTAAAGCACCTCTGGGTTCATTCCTTAGAACAACCACAACAAACAAAACACACAACAACAACAACATACAAAAAAAAAAGAAAAAAAACACAATAAAGAACATTAACTTTAAACTGAAAATTCTAATGCAGGAGGCTGAGGCAGGAAGATCACAAGTTCAAGGCCAGCCTCAGCAACTTAGTGATATACTGTTTCAAAATTAAAAATAAAAAAGGATTGGGGATGTAGCTCAGTGGTATAGTACTCCTGGGTTCAGTATCAATAATTAGTTAGTTAATTAATCAATTGGGGGGAGGTAAAGATACCTATGAAGTCATTCTTTTTTTTAAATTTTATTTATTTTTGGTTGTAGTTGGGTACAATATCTTTATTTATTCATTTTTATGTGGTGCTGAGAATCGAACTCAGGGTCTCACACATGCTAGACAAGTGCTGTACCAGTGAGCCACATCCGTGCCCTAGAGTCATTCTTTTAATGAATATATTCTAGTTATGTACAATAGATGTAGCACTATTGCTGAATTTGTCCTTTTCAATTTTTGCAGCTTCTCTAGGAAAGTTGAAAAAAGTTTTACAGAGACTTTGTTGTCCTTCTCTTCATTATAACTACTTTTGATACTTCCTTACTCTTTGCATCTTTTATTTTACTTTAAAATAAAAGAAGGCTAGAGAAGCTAGAGTAGCAATCCTGGAAGGAAAAATAAAGAAGGAACCAAAAACTGGAAGCAAATTACTCTTATTCCATTTCCTTTCTTTGGGAATACAGAACGTCTTGCAGGAAGTCATCTCCTACCGTATCTCCCTAACATATGTTCACTCTCCAAATACGCACCATCAGGTTGCATTTGGCTTTCCTGAAAGTTTATTACAATTTGCTAAGTGTGTATGAATAAAAAAGCAATTGCTACACAAATTAATTCTCAGACTAGTAATACACAAAACTACTATAACCTAATATCCACAAATACTTTGCAAAATCATTTGAAACACATTTTTAAAAGAATAGTTTTTAAATACATACATATAAACGGGGATCACTGATCCACAACTACTTTCTTTCCTTTTTTTTTTAATGTGGTACTGGAGATCAAATCCAGGTCCTTACACATGCTAGGCAAGTTCTCTGCCACTGGGCTATATCTCTAACCCACTACAATTCTTTTAACAATTTATGCTCACATGAAATCTTACCCTTCTGGCTTTGTTTCCTAGACATTGCAGTTTCTTTGATTTCAAAAACTACAGATGAAAAGTATTTTTTTTTTTTTTTTGCCTTTTCCAGGCTCTGAGATTATCTCTGATTTTAGAGTGGGCAACAGAAGACTAGAGTTAGAAGCGATAAACACAAAAATCTTGGTTGTATGAAATTCTGTTCACTAGCTGTTAATCGCCTTTCCTTCGGTTGTATCAACTTCTTGTCAGGAAGTATCATTGCAGATAGTCATGGCTCTTTTTCCAGAGAGATTCTAAAGGGAAAAATACAAAAACACATTTACCATTCGAGTAATGTCTATGTGAAATTTCTAAGCAATGTCCACAGGTTTTATTTTTCTCTACTATTTTTTAAGTGCTCTATAAAGAATGTACATGTTGAAAAGCACTATTTTTCTCAAGAAAACAGTCTTTGAATCAGATCATATTAGTTTAGAAAGCATGTTTTATTTTTTTTTTTAATTTTTTTTAATAGTTGTAGATAGACAGAATGCCTTTATTTTATTTGTTTTATTTTTAATGTGGTGCTAAGGAATGAACCCAGTGCTTTACACATGCTAGGCAAGTGCTCTGCCGCTGAGCTACAGCCCCAGCCCATATTTTCTTTATCTTCTTTTGTATCTGCCTCAAATATTTCATCCTCATCACTACTTCACAAACTAAAATATTACCTTTTATCACTCCCTAAGATTTTACCACCTGATCTTCCTATCCAAATCAAGGGACTTTTCTCTTTCCCTAGAATTTAGCTTCTCAGGTTTCTCAGCTTAAATATAGCTGCAAGAAACTTGGGTGGTGCAAGTTGGGGAAAGTGCAAAACGATTTTAATATGGAAAATCAAAACATCAAAATGTGACTAGTTGGGCTGGGGATGGGCTCAAGCGGTAGTGCGCTCGCCTGGCATGCGTGCGGCCCGGTTCGATTCTCAGCACCACATACAAACAAAGATGTTGTGTCCGCGGAAAACATTAAAAAATTCTCTCTCGGTGCTCATGCTCACTGCAGGGGTCGGAGGTCGGGGTGAGCGTCTTGGGGGCCGAAGAAGAAAGATGGCGGTGGAATCGCGCGTAACCCAGGAGGAAATTAAGAAAGAGCAACAGAAGCCAATTGACCGCAAGAAGACATGCCCGCTGCTGTTGCGAGTCTTCACCACCAATAACGGCTGCCACCACCAAATGGATGAATTCTCCCGCGGAAACGTACCCTCCAGCAAGCTGCAGATCTATACTTGGATGGATGCAACTTTGAAAGAACTAACTAGTTTAGTAAAAGAAGTCTACCCAGAAGCTAGAAAGAAGGGAACACACTTCAATTTTGCGATTGTTTTTATGGATCTTAAAAGACCTGGCTATCGAGTTAAGGAGATTGGCAGCACCATGTCTGGCAGAAAGGGGACTGACTGACGATTCCATGACCTTGCAGTCCCAGAAGTTCCAGATAGGCGATTATTTGGACATAGCCATTACCCCTCCAAATCGAGCACCGCCTCCTTCAGGGTGTATGAGACCATATTAAATTTTATTTACTATCTCTCAAATTTATTTTTCAGCCAGTTATGTAAAATAAACTTACATACTCTTTCCTCCCCTGATTTTTGCCATTAAGCCTTTAAATTCTAAACAAATGTAATGCATCTATTTAGGAGTTAGATTTGGATATACTATGGGTATGGATATTAATAGAAAGTCTGTATGTTTCACGCCTCTGTAAAATATGAAGAAAAGTACTCTTAGCATTATGTGTACAACTGTTAAATATATATGTACAATCAGTCTGAATGTGAAAGTCAATGGAGGCATGGGAATAGGGTTTCATCTCTTATATGAAGTTTATACAAAGCAGTGCAGGCGGCTATTCCCAAAGGTGAAGAATAAAAATACTGAGATTAAGAAATTTAGCATGAGTTTGGGCTGTAGACTAGAGTATGCAGTTAGAAAAATGACCTATGACAATGAGGCAGCAGAGGCTTTTTGGAATGGTATGAGCTTCGACAAGTTGAAGGAATTATGTTGGAAGACATGGCCTGCCTTGGTTTGGGTGCTAAAGAATAGTGTTATGGTGAGGATTTATATGCTTTAAAATGGAGGCTAGGACATTTTGAAGGCAGGAGCCAATATCTTTAAGATCTGAAAAACTGAGAAAGGGACAAAAAAAGAACCTCTTACACATCCTGTGCTGGGGACTAGTGTATGATTTGAGAGGCATTATAACACAGTGATTAAGACCAATGTACAAAGCATTTAAATTCTGATTGTACCAGTAGCTCTGCAACCTTAGATGAATTACTTGAATCAAGTGTGTGTGGGGGGGTGGCTGGTGGTGGTTTTTAATGGAGACACTAGTCTATAGGGTTATGAAAAGTTAAAAAAAAAGACCTAGGATAGTGCTTGGTGGATTAGAAACAATAAATACTGGTTATTAGCCAAAAAAAAGAACTTAGTTAAAACTGGAAAATTATCTTAATGCATTGTTTGATTCTCATTTTGAAGTTTATGAACTAGATAACAATGTGTAGAAACCCTAATTATTTTTAGTCTGACAGTAGAAAATTGAAATCTCCAAATGATAAAAGTGCTAAAAATGTGCAAGTAGTCTCAGTAAAGTGAGTTTTATCTTGTGCATACAAAATAGTCATTTAAAATCTGATTCTGTCAAATTGGTGTCCCTGTTACAGTGAGTCCACAATTTCAGATGATTAGATCTTAGTGGTTCTTTGCTGTAGCTTACTCCAAACCCTTGGCTTATATATTCATTCAGACTACATGGACCTGAGTTACTAACCTTTTGGAGAATAACCATGATTATCTTCCTGTTTGTGGGGCATGAAAGGGGGGATGATTTACTATTTAGATCCAAAGGGTGGGAACCACATTAAGGACCTTCAGAAGCCAATTTTTTCATATGGTGTGATCTCTTATCTTACAAGGGCTCTCCTGTTAATTCATGTTATTTTCTCACTAGTTTTAAAATAAAGTGGTTTAGCTGGTTTGCCCAATTCTATTCTTTGTTGATTCCAACATGAAATTTTTCCTTTAAAGATTTCAGTCTTTTCGGGGCTAGGGATGTATGTGGCTCAGTGGTGGAGCACTTGCCTAGCAAGTGTGAGGCACTGGGTTCAATCCTTAGCATCACATAAAAAGAAGTAAATAAAGATATTGTGTCCATCTACAACTTAAAAATATTTTTAAAAATTCAGTTTTCTACCAAAAGCATAAAGTTCAAGAATATGCAGTGAGTTTGTTATTGGCTATACTAAGAATCAAGGCTTAGCCCTTGTTTTCCTTTGACTTTGCTAAAAAGGTATGGTTTTAAGTAGTAACTGAGCTATTTTCTCAGAAATAGAAGTGGTTACCATTACAGCATCTTTCTCAGTTCTTTAGTGTCTTTCCTAACTGCCGCAATTGCTTATAGGTTTTCAGAGTTGAAATTTTTCCTTTAGAACATGTGAATTACAGTACGCGACATTGCCCATGTCTTTTCGGTGTCTAAAACTGGAATGGTTATGCCCATGCTCATTGACTCAGGTAGTGTTTCAGAGATCAGTTGTGTGTGTGTGCATGCATGTGCATGTGAAGGGCAAGTATGAGTGGGGGGGAGAAAAAGCGATTAAACTGTTAGGCCACGTTGAAAAAATTTTAAACTCTTGTTATTCTTTAATAAAGAGCCAAACTCAGGCAAAAAAAAAAAAATTCTCTCTCTCTCTTTAAAAAAAAAAAGGGATTAGTCAATACTGGAGGAAGCTTCTCTAAGTTGTAAAAATATAAAATCTATTTTTCTTTATTACTAAACTTTTTTGGGGGGTGGGGGGTACCCCAACCCTTTATCAAGGGATTGAATTCAGGAGCACTCAACCACTGAGCCACATCCCCAGCCCTCTTTTGTATATATTTTAATATTTTTTAGTATTTATTTTTTAGTTGTAGTTGACATAATACCTTTATTTTACTTATTTATTTCTATGTGGTACTGGGGATCGAACCCAGGGCCTTACACGTGCTAGGTGAGCATTCTTCTGCTGAGCTACAACCCCAGGCCCCCTATTTTGTATTTTATTTAGAGACAGAGTCTCACTGAGTTTTTTAGCCCCTCACTTTCGCTGAGGCTGGCTTTGAACTATCGATCCTCCTGCCTCAGCCTCCCAAGCCACTGGGATTATAGGAATATGCCACCGCACTCAGCTTACTAAACATTTTTAAAATTTTTTAGTTGTAGATGAAAATAATTATACCATTTATTTACTTTTATATGGTGCTGAGGATCGAACCTATTGCCTCACATGTGCTAGGCAAATACTCTACCACTGAGCCACAACTCCAGCCCCCATATTACTAAACATTTTAAAGATCCTTCTCAAAAATTTCTGGGTATAGAAAGAATAATTAGGATCATTGAACTCATATAAACTAGAAAATAAACATTAAATACTGAACAAAAAGAAAGCAAATTGCAAAGTTAAAGAAAAACTGAAAAACACCACTGATTATAGATCTAATAAAAAGGTAGAAATGCTAAGCAACAGATGAAATAGAATGAATAGAATGAAAAAGAGCAGAAAAAAGAGATTAAAACAATTAGAAGATAACGTTAAAGCACCCACAAAAAATGATCCAATATAAGATAACTCAAATCTAATATAAGAACTCAAAAATTATGACTCAATAAAGGTAATGGAAGAGGATTCACAGACAATATGTAGGAAAATTCCTTGAAATAAAAAAGACCTGAATCCGTTTGCTCCCAATCACCTCCAGTTCATCAGAAGAAATGCTGTGTTCTACCTTTAAAACACACCCAGAACTAGACCACTTCTCACCTTCACTGCTACTACCCCTAAGTCACAATCATCACTCACCTGCACTACTGAATCAGAATGATAATAGCCTCCTAACTGGCATCCTGAGTCTTCTGCCACCTTTGGCTTCTATTTCACTATGGTGGCTTTTAAAATTATAAGACAGATTATAAGCAACTCTGCTGCTCAAGGCTCATTTCATTAAAATTAAAAGCCAAAGTCCTTAGAATGGCCTTAATGGTCTTATCAAATGTACCTCTCTGCCTCCATTTTCCCTTACCTTTTTGATCCCCTGTCCTACTACCCTTCCCTGAACTGAGATAATTCACTGAAGCCATACTAATCCCTTTATCATCCCTTTTATACTCTAGATATATTTATACCCTGGGGTCCTTAAAGCTTTCCCTCTTCCAGGAATACTGTTCCCCTAGATATTGACATGGAATATCTTCTTGTCTTCAA